ACCTTTACCTTCTTTCATATTGATGGCTATGTTTCTGTGTAACACATCTTTTAGCATCTTTTGCAGGGCTGGACTAGTGGTGAGAAATTCTTTCGATTTCTGTTTGCTATGAAAGGTCTTTATTTCTCCTTCATTCACAAATGAGAGCTTTGCAGGATATAATATTCTGGGCTGGCAGTTTTCTTCTCTTAGTACCTGGGCTATATCTTGCCTTTCCCTCCGAGCCTGTAGGATTTCTGATGAGAAGTCAGCTGTGAGTCTAATTGGGGATCCTCTGAGAGTAATCTGATGTTTCTCTCTTGCACATTTGAGAATCTTTTCTTTGTGTTTCACTGTGGTGAGTTTGATTACAACGTGTCATGGTGAGGATCTCTTTTGGTCATGTTTATTGGGGCTTCTATGAGCTTCCTGTACTAAGATGTCTCTGTCCTCCAAACCTCAGAAGTTTTCTGCTAGTATCTCACTAAAAAGGCCTTTTATTCCTTTCTCTCTCTCCATGCCTTCAGGAACTCCTAGAACCCGAATGTTGGGTTTTTTAATAGTATCCTGTAGAATCCCAACAATATTTTTTAGGTTTCTAATTTCCTCTTCTTTTCTTTGGTTTGACTGTATACTTTCCTGTTCTCTGTCTTCTAAGTCTGATATTCTCTCTTCTGTTTCACTGATTCTGTTTTTAATGCTCTAAATGTATTTTTCATTTGATTTATTGAATTCTTCATTTATTTATGATTTCTCTTCACTATCACAATTTCATGTTCTACTAGATTCTTCATTTCATTTTGATTCCTCCTTAAGATTTCATTTTCACGAGACAGATTTTCTGTCCTGTCCAGTTTGGATTTCTGTAGTTCATGAATTTTTTTTTGAAAACTTCTAAATGTTCTTATCTTAAATTTTTTGAAATTTGTATCTTGCATTTCTTCTATCTCATCATCTTCATAATCTTGAATTGGAGTGTCATGTTCATTTGTGGGTGTCGTAATGTCTTCCTTGTTCCTTTTTCCTCTGTTTCTGTGTTTGTTGCTTGGGATTGTGCAGATATTCTTTGTTTTCCTCTTTTTTTTTTGTTCCTTGCTGTGGTCTTTTCTCATTGTACTATGGCTCTAGATTACGTGGGCTGTCTGCTTCTGGTGGCTCTCCAGAGGCTTGGGCTGGGTGTGCCCAGAGAGCTCTGTTCAATTCTTCAGGGTTAAGGGTGTGCCAAAGATGACACACCTAGGTTTGGTATGGTAAATTCTCTCTCTCTCTCTCTCTTCAGAATGGAAGTAATTCTACACAGCTTCAAGGAGCTATTCTCCTTGAAGCCAATCAGTGTCTGAGTGCTGGCCCATCTCAGGCACTTTGTGAGTTCTCTCACACACCCTCAGTTTTTTTTTTTTTTCCACAGTCTCAGTTCAGAAGCTCCACACATTCACTAGGCCTTAACCTCTTGTTATTTCTCCCCACCAGACTCAGGTTTTTCTGCTTGGCTGAGGGTGGGTGCAGCCCTGGGGTGGTGTAGCTTTTATGTATGTCCAAAATGGCGCCTGCTCTTTGCCTTGCTAGCCTTTGTAAGGTAAGTGGATAGAGAGAACCATGTCTGTACTGGTCCCTTTTATTTTTTCTTCTATCCTCTAGTTAGCGTGGTGAACTTTTTCCCACGGAGCTTCAAGCATCATTCTCTCTACACTCTTCCTGCCACTTTCCCGCCAGTGTCTCGGGCTACTGAGGTTTCGCCTCACCTCCCTTTCTAGCGCTAGTGCGTATACTTGGCGGCTATGGTCCCAAGCCATGCCCTCCAAATATTTTTTGGTCCACATGACTTAAATAAATCTCTGATAGATTATTTTAAATTTGTAGATAAAAAGATACTAAAGATGTTTTCAGTCATTGGCATATTTTGTGTTTTCGTTTGCTGGTCAATCAAAAGTTAGACTTAGGTTTGTTTGATATTTAAAATCATAAAGTTATACGATTGACTTAAGAACAAATATTATGGCAAACATTTAATGCAATTGATGCTTTGAGGATTGTTCTTTGGAAAGAGTGATAAATAAGTTTGTCAAATATTTTAGTTTCTCAAGCAACCTAAGTATAACTGGTAAGGGTTGGTGTTATGGTGTAGCAGGTAAAAGCTGCTGCCCGCAGTGCCAATGTCCCGGCTTCTCTACTTCTGATCCAGCTCTCTGCTATGGCCTGGGAAAGCAGGAGAAGATGTCTCAAGTCCCTGGGCTCCTGCACCCACGTGGGAGATGCAGAAGGAGCTCCTGACTTTGGATCGGCACAGCTCCGGCCGTTGTGGCCATCTGGAGAGTGAACCAGCAGATGGAAGACCTCTCCCTCTCTCTCTCTGCCTCTGCCTCTCTGTAACTCTGCCTTTCAAATAAATAAACAAATCTTTAAAAGTAAACTGGTAAATGTTTCCAAATACAAGTGTTATTGGCTTCAAAGATCTATCAAGTACATTGGAACTTTAAGTAAAAATGTTTTCATAAGTTGTTGATTTATTAAAATTCAAAATTTCTTTCTGTGAGTCTTCACTAGAAATAGTTACTGAGGGTAAGAAATCATTGTCAATCAATATATGGGAATTAGAAATTAAAAAGCAAGGCCAGCATTATGTAGCAGAGGGTTAGCTGCTGCCTGCAATGATGACTTCCCACATCAGAGAACCAGTTCCAGGCCTGAGGACTAAACTTCAGATCCACCTCCCTGGTAATGTGTGTGGGAAAGCAGCAGAAGATAGACCAAGTGCTTGGTTCCCTGATATCCACATAGGAGACCTGGATGGAATTCCTGGCTCCTGGCTTCTGCCTGGACAAGGGCAAACTATTGCAGCCATTTGTGGAATGAACCAAGGAATGGAAAATCTCTCTCTCATATCCTAGAATTCAAATTAACATAAGTAGGATTTCATCCCCTAAGTTAAAAAGAAAAATACATACAGTGTGGCAAGTTGCCAGCTTGTGAATCCCCATCTTATCAATTTGAGGTAGGAAGATATCAGCATGCACCCAGCACTCACAATTTTCACTGAAGGGATTGCCACAGTCAACCTCTGACTCCTAGTTCAGGCTGGAGAGCTGACTGTGGTGTGAGCAGCTGCCAGGGTTGGAGTAGGGTAGCTGCTTTGCTGTCCTTTCTGCCCCTCCTGAACCAGCACTAAGTGCCAATGCAACAGGGCAAAGCCACACAGCACACGTCTATTCTGCTCCTACCAACACTGTAATCAGGGTCAGGGCAATGCGTACAGCAAAGGACAGATCCCCTGCACCCTGCAACTGGGGGAGTCAGCCCCAGAGCTATGCTCATGCACTCTGTGAGCCGTGGCTGCTGGCCGGGGTATCAGTAAGCCAAGGATGGAGAACTGGTGGTTTGGCAGCTCCTTGGCTCTGAAAGAAGGTAGACAGTGCTGCCTGATGGCTCTGCAGGGGCATCCGTGGGCTTTGCATTCAGGCAACCTGCTTGGTTACTACCTGGGACTCTCAGAATGAAGGTGTGATAACTCAGCTGGTTTTTGGACTGGATGTGATGAACTTCTGGGGGCAGTTGTTGGCTGTTTTAAGGACCCTGAATGGATGGACACTCAAGAAGGCACTGTGCATGAAAGGCCAGAGTGGAGGAAGGCATCACATGAGCTGGGCTATTTCTCTGGGGCACTGTAGCCATGTATACACCTAGAAGCTCCTCCAAAAGTCCTCAGGGCCTGTGAGGGCTCCAGACATCTCCAGCGGCAAATGCTTCAGATTTCTGTGGCATGAGTAGGAGTCCTGCTGATCATTTTCCTGTCAGTGTCCCTTCTGCTATAGCGTTTCCTGAGTGTTGGGATTCTGAATGCTGTGGGCTTAGTTTCCCTTTTTATAAGTCCCTGTGTATCTCCATGCTTGCAACATCACTGTCACTTCCCTTCTCCTCTCCAGAAGTCTGCCTCAGACACTCCAGTGAACTAGCTGGGTTTTTTCCATCATGGGCAAGTCAAAGTCACCTCAAATAGTCTTTGCAATGAGTTTTTAGGTAAATCACCAGACAGGTCAAAGAGCGACATATTATTGTGAAAGAGGCTATGACATAGATCAAACCCTGTTCCTCTGCTAATACCAAGAATATATATACGATTATTATATTTTTTGACAGGTAGAGTGGTTAGTGAGAGAGAGACAGGGAGAAAGGTCTTCCTTTTGCCGTTGGTTCACCCCCCAATGGCCGGCGCGGCCGGCGCGCTAAAGCCGGCGCACAGCGCTGATCCAATGGCAGGAGCCAGATACTTATCCTGGTCTCTCATGGGGTGCAGGGCCCAAGCACTTGGGCCATCCTCCACTGCACTCCCTGGCCACAGCAGAGAGCTGGCCTGGAAGAGAGGCAACCGGGACAGAATCCGGCGCCCCGACCGGGACTAGAACCCGGTGTGCTGGCGCCACTAGGCGGAGGATTAGCCTAGTGAGCTGTGGTGCCAGCCAAGATTTTTTCCTGAATGATTCACTGAATCACTGCCGACCTGAAATGGTGATTCTTACTATTTTTTTTTTTTTTTAGTTTCTTTGTTTGTATTAAGGGCCCAATTTTTGTAGATCTTTTTCTTTAATTTTCCTAGAAGTTGCCTCCATGCCAATTCTTAATGCTGGAGAAAGCATGCTCTTCTTATGTCAAACACTTACAGAGAGAAACTCATTGTCTTTAGTGTAATATCACTTGCATGGACAAGAGACATCATGCAATCTCCATGACAGAGTGCCTCCCAAAGTTACATAAATAATGTCTTTGCCTCATGACTCCGTACATATTGTTTTCTATTAAAATGATTTCATAATAATTCTCTACTCTACCGCAATTATGCCTACCAAGTCCCAGGCTACATGGTGAGCTCTCATTCTCTTGCCTCCTTTGCATTCAAGTAGTTCACTGGTTATGAATAGAGACCATGGCTCAGTGTCAGGCCAGCACCAAACATGTTATGTCAAGGTTTTCCTGTGTGTTCCCACAATAGCCCCCACCCCCACCCCCACCCCCACGGTTGTACATACCTGGAGAGCAAGGACAGGACAAACAAGGGTAGAGACACAGTCAGATGCAGTGTGTGTCAGTCTCGAATGGCAAAAGCTAATCCTCCCAAGAGTATCTGCCCAACGCCATAGGCACATAACATCAGTGTCACTCCTATATGTTGTGACTTGGGAACTGTCCACTCTGATACTGAAAAATATATACACAATTATTTCAGTCAAAGGGCAATTTCAAGTGAATTCAAGGCATAGATACAATGAAAGTCTTAAATTGTTAACTTACCAAGAATGAAAGAGTTTGACAAAACAATTATGATAGAAAATCCAGCTAAAAAGCGTAGAATGCAGAAGATGAGGAAGGTGGGAGCAAAGGTGTCCATAATGGCCGTCTGGAGGAGACACCATGTGTAAACCCCCTTCCTTCCATACCTAAGAAATAAGATTATTTAGGAATAAACATAATGTGTGTAAAACTTAACACAAGATGATACATCTTCAAAGTCAGGATAAATGTTTCTCATTTGCAACACTGCTTTGGAGGCTAGTGGAATAATTATATTTGTCAACAGCAGAAATCACAGATGTAATCCTCCTAGTCCATATTAGACCATTATCAACTCTCTGTCAGTCAACAATCACCAGGAAGACTTTTTCCATATGAAGCCATATGTAAGACAGTGAATTATGAGAAGTTATCCCAAAAGTTTGTTAAACAAATGTATGCATTGAATATAGTGAGTATTTGCCTTGTGTTTAGACCAGTGATGAATGAAATCAAGAGATTTGTACTTTGTCTCTGAACTATCAACACAAAGCCTTTTATAAAATAAGGTACCCATTTAACCATTCCCTAGTCAAATAGAACATTGTTCTAGAAATGAATCCCAATTTGCACATTCTGTTAGCCCCTACTCCCAATAGAATATATAATTTGAAACTTCAGATACCATATATTAATATGTTTGGTTTCTATTTTAAAAATAGGAATAATATAACATGTGATCCTGTTATATATATTGTTTCCTGTATATTGATGCCTGTGATGATAGCTTGTTTTTCTAAATGTACATGAGAGACAGGCATTATGGTGCAATGATTAAGCTGTCAGCTGGGATGCCTGCCCTCCAAGTAGGACTGCTACTTTGAGTCCCAGGCATTCTGTTTCTCATGCAGCTTTCTGATAATGCATCTTGGAGGGCAGCCAATGATAGCTCTAGTTCTTGGGTGACTGCTGCACATACGGGAGACCCAGAAAGATTTCTGGGCTCCTGACTTCACCCTGGTACAACCTTGGCTGTTTTGGGTATTTGGGTATGAATCAACAGTGGAAGATCTCTCTCACTTGGTAACAACCTTTTAGTAATGAAAACAAACACACTTAACAAATAAACTCAGATGAATATGTCATATTTTAAAATTATCACTGCTTAAAATTGTAACATAAAATACGTTTGAAGAGAAGTTATTCAGATATTATCTAAATCATTTCATGCATCTGGTCACCCACTCATTCTACAATTTCAATCGTATTACTGAGTTTGGAGTTTGAAAACTAGGGGTGGAGATCTCAGATGGTTAAACAGGGAAATACATGCTGACTTTGACCACAGGAAGATACCAGAAGAATAGGGGAGGGACCATATTCCAGGGTAGAGTTGGAGAAAAGTTTGTAGTGGAAAGTCAACAGAATAAGGGAATAGACAGAATGGAAAGCTAGGGGCAAGTTAAGTCTATACATGTAATATGTAACTGTGTAAGCTCAAAGTCATAGGTTTTAACTAAGACAAGTGAATGGCAATGAGCGTCTGTAGTTCACTGGATGTTCTAGTAAGAGACACCTTAGTGACAGGCATGGTTGCCTCCTTCAGGAGAAGCTGTTCAAGACACAAAAAAATCTCTAATTTCTTATATCAAACCATGCCACCATAATTTATTTATTTATTTTTTTGACAGGCAGAGTGGACAGTGAGAGAGAGAGAGAGACAGAGAGAAAGATCCTCCATTTTCCGTTGATTCACCCCGCAATGGCCGCCGTGGCTGGCGTGCAGTGGCTGGCGCACTGCGCTGATCCGAAGCCAGGAGCCAGGTGTCTCTTCCTGGTCTCCCATGCGGGTGCAGGGCACAGGGACCTGGGCCATCCTTCACTGCACCTCCGGGCCACAGCAGAGAGCTGGACTGGAAGAGGAGCAACAGGGACAGAATCCGGCCCCCAGACTGGGACTAGGACCCAGTGTGCCGGCGTCGCAGGTGGAGGATTAGCCTATTGAGCCATGGCACTGGCCACAAAATAATTTCTTAAGACTATTTACATTTTATGGTGGCAAAAATTACCTATTGTACCTATTTCACAAGGATCAACTCTCAGGTTATTGCTGTAAGGTTCACCACCATATCTGCTCCATGTTGTTTCAAAACAAGAGATTTTACAACAATGACGACCCACTGTACATGTCCATCTATGCTGCAGACACAAAATGATGCCAGTCTACAAGTGTCCATCATCATTGATCTCACAGGTTCCAGGTGTTTCATATCATTGCCAAGGCCAATAACATTCGTTCACAATTTGGTGGTTTTAACTTGCTCAAATCCTCTACCTCTCTTTTTATTGAACTAACTCCAACTCATAAATTTCATACCCTTCAATATGCTCTGAGATTCACTCATGAAACTTGCTTGAATCTTATTTAGATGTCTCTTTATGTCTCCTGTTATGCACACAATGAATAGATTTGTCATAACAAATTATAATATCCAGGTCATGTAGCAAATATGCTTATTGTTGTAGCTCCCTGAAATCAGACAATTAGGTCAGTATGTAACCCAGCATAAAGGGCCCAGTGTGAGCTTATCAGTCTTCTAAAATACATGAATGTGTGGATCATGTGGTCAACAACCCCAAATAAAGTGAGGTGACACTTACCTGTCTGAGAGATAGTCAAATATCAGACTTCCCAGCAGCGACCCACTCAGGAACAGGGTTTGAACCACTGATTTTTGTGACTGAGATTCACAGACGAGGTCCCACTGGAAGAGGAAGCAGCGCAGCAGAGTGTTAGGAGAGCTTCAGCCCTTTGGTGGAGCCTGACCACAAACTCCTCCATATGATACACACGAGCTCCTGCTGTGGGGTTCTGCCTTCTCCAATTTCATCTACAGTCACTTCCCTCTGGTTGCCCACACTCTAGAAATACTGAAACTCATAGCAACCTTTCAAATGCCACTGCCTCTTTTACCTCATACCATTCTGATAATCTGTTACCACGTGTGTACACAACTTTAGTCATTTTTCTCCTAGAGCACCAAATCCATTTACTGTATTATTGTTCAACACATTTGTGAGGTACAAAAATTAAAATCACATAAAATGTAATTTTAAGAATCTTAAGTTACCAAAATTTAAAAAATAGGAGAATCCAGGTTTTTTTCCTTCATCATGTGATCAACATGTTACTTCACAGTTTATGCTTAATTATTATAAAATATTTGGTTTTTCTTTCAAAGCTTTTCATTTATATTCTTTAAAATTAAGAAACCTAAAATGTTAGCTATGTGAAGAGTTCCCATACAACCCATTCAGAGCTTCCAGTAATTTTAACATCATACATATTTGCCTCTATCCATAAGCCGCTCTCAAATTTTTCTGTAGTTTTTAAAATCCAAGGTTCCTCTGAGCCTTCAATCTCACAAAGCTTATAGTAATTAACAACTATGCTTATATTGAGGTTTATTTTATCTCCCATATATGAGGAAGAAAATGTAACATTCGTCTTCCTGTGTCTAACTTATTTCAATTAACATGATGTCTTTCAGTTCTATCTAGTTTGATGCAAATGACAGGATTTCATTCTTTTTAAATAATTGAGTAGAATCAATTATGTATAAATTGTATTTCCTTTGGAAAATATTAATTTAGTAGATATTTGAAAGTCAGAGTTACAGAGAGTTAGAGAAAGACACACACGGAGAGAAAGAACTCCCGTCCACTGGTTCACTCCACAAATGACTGTAATAGCCAGGGCTGAGATGGGGCAAAAGCCAGGATCTGGAACTCCATCTCAGGGGCCTAAGCACCTGGCACAAGTTCTTTTGTTTTCCCAGGAGCACTAGCGAGAAGTGGAGCAGTTTGGCATCAACTCAGTGCTTACATTGGATGCCAGCTTTGCAGGTAGCATATTAACCCACTCAACTACAATGTGGGCACCCATATTTTCTTTATTGATTCATGTGATGATGGAAACCTGGTTGATATCAAATCCTGGCTACTGTAAAGAGCAATGACCGTGGTAGAACAGAGATGACTTATTGAAATAATTATTTCATATCTTTTGGATATATACCCAGTGGTGTTTGCTAGGTCATGTGGCAGTTCTCTTTCTAGTTTTGAGGAAGTCTTATACTGTTGTCCATAATGATTGTACTAATTTACATTCCAGCAATAGTGTGTAAGAGTTCCCTTTGTTCCACATTCAGGGCAGCTATGGTTACTTTTTGTCTTTTTGATAATATCCATTCTTATTGGAGTAGGTGATATCTCATTGTGGTTTCGATTTTATTTTCATATCTGTAAGAACTAGTAATATTGAGCATTTTTCCCACATATCTGTTGGCCATTTGTATTGGACACTCATCAAATCAGCTAAAGAGCCCCAACAGGAATGATGCCTGGATCCTGTGTATATAGGTTGTGATTTACTTGCACTGTGCATCAGTTTTGCAATCAATACTGAGAAGCACTGACCTAGCATAACATTTTGCGAGTAGCATTTCAATTACTTTTATCCTCTCTATATAAAATGATATAGTAGTAGGTTGAGGTATAGTTTGTTCAATTCATTAACCTCCATAGTAGCACCCTTGATATTGTGGTACAGATAAGCAATTGCTAATTGCTGAAGGAATGAAGACTTTCTTCATTTGACAAAATAAGTTGGTAGAGAATTCTCAGTCCATTCTTTGTGTTAACTCCAAACACCTTCAGTTCACATCACTTCTCTATAAAGAGGTTAACTGAGGACTCTTACCTTAGTCACAATGGTGGAGGAGAAGGAGCTCTGATCGTACACCCAGCCATCCACACAGGGCTCTGTGTCTGACTCACTTACATTGGGGAAGGTCCTGTTCAGATGAAGGAGCTGCCACTGGGGATGGGTGAAGCGACAGCACTTCTCTGGCCTCAGGTTTGAGTCCAGCGGGATGGAGACTCTCAGGAGGGCGTCTTGGCTGAGGATGTCAGAGTCATTGCCAGAGGTGGTGTGGTTGTCCAGGAGGGGGACCCAGCAGCGATGCCCAGGGATGGCTGCAGTGAAGTTCTCCAACAGAGCTTGAGGGTATGTTATCATACTGGTGACAAATAAGAAGGCAATCTGAAGGATCTGAAATCTCCCCAGACTTCCAGCTTGATCCAGGAGCACATCGAAGCCCATTGAGGCTGAGCAGGTTGTCTCCAAGGTGAAGCACAGTGACTATGGAGATAGGTTCAGAGGAAGAGAATGCTTCCTTTCACCACGTCCTCTAGTGCTGTGTTGATCTTGGCCCCACTTTCTCAATAGGCCCAGTCTCAGCACTGCAGAAGAGCAGAGCAGGAGTTTCCTCAGTTCTTTGATTTTAGGTAGCCAACAGGTTGAAAAATGTCACAGTTGTAATTATTTGGCCAAGAGACCTTCAGTTATTGATGCCTGACCCTGCTAAAACACTTCTCCATGAATGATCCTGACCCCTGAACTTCGTGAGAGTGGAGCAGACATTCAGCTGGATGGAATCTCCATATGACATAAAGTATACATGATCAATGTCTGTACTTATTTTCAGAGAAGGGTTGTTGGGACTCACAACTGAAGTGCCTGATGGTGTGTCTCTCAAGCATCAGGGCAGGGCTTTTTCTTGGTTGAAATGGATTCTGACTCAAGGTTAATGAAAAGACTCTTAGTTAAAAGAAAGCAAAGTGGAATGTTGACTGGAAATGTGAACTGCTGGTAATTGAAATTCTGCTTTAGTTAAATCATACCAGTGACAGTGAGTCTAAGATTTTTGCTAAAAAGGATAAAATAGTAATTGTTCCTTGATTGTCAGGACAAGGAATGATCAAGCCATTGTTTTGTTTTTTAATAGAAAGCTTTTATACATTAATTATAAATTTTGAAAATACAATTTTTGATTAGAAGTTGCTCACCTCATACCTGCCCTCCCACCCACAAATTTGCTTAGAGATTTCATCATGAAAATGTGCTATATTATCAAATGCTTTCTCTGCGTTTATTGAGATAATCCTATGGTTTTTGTTCTGCAATTTGTTAATGTGGTGTATCACATTGATTGATTTGCGAACATTGAACCATCCCTGCATACCAGGGACAAATCCCAGTTGGTCTGGGTGGATGATCTATCTGATGGGTTGTTGCATTGTATTGGCCAGAATTTTATTGAGGATTTTTGTGTCTATGTTCATCAGGGAGATTGGTCTGTAATTCTCTTTCAATGCCTCATCTTTTTCAGGTTAGGAACTAAGCTGATGCTGACTTTGTAGAAAGAATTTGGGAGGATTCCCTCTTTTTCGATTGTTCTGAATTAGTTTGAGAAGAATGGGAGTTAGTTCTTCTTTAAATGTCTGGTAGAATTCAGCAGTGAATCCATCCGGTCCTGGGTTTTCTTTGTTGGAGGGCCTTTATTACTAATTAAATTTCTGTCTTGGTTATGGGTCTGTTTAGGTTTTCTATGTCCTCATGGTTCAAGTTAGGTAGGTTGTATGTGTCCAGGAATCTATCCATTTCTGCTAAATTTCCCAGTTTCTTGGCATGCACTCTATGTATTAATTTCTGATGCCCCTTTTATTTCTGTATTGTCTGTTACATTCCCTTTTTCATCTCTAATTTTACTGATTTGGGTCTTCTCTCTCCTTTGGTTGGTTGGTTGGGCCAATAGTGTGTCAATATTTTATTTTTTCAAAAAACCAGCCTTCTTTTTTTGCTGATATTCTGTAATTTTTTGGATTCAATTTTGTTGATTTCTTCTCTAATTTTAATTATTTATTTTCTCATATTAGTTTTAGGTTTGGTTTTCTGTAGTTTTTCTAGATCCTTGAGATGCATTGATAGGTTATTCATTTGGTGCCTTTCCAATTTCTTGATGTAGGCACCTATTGCTAAAACCGTTTGTCTTAACACTGCTTTTGCTCTAATCCATAAATTTTGATATGTTGTGTTGTTATCCTTATTTACTTCCAGAAAGTTTTGATTTCTCTTTTGATTTCTTCTATGACCCACTGTTCATTCAGGAGCATGTTGTTCAGTCTCCATGTGTTTGCATATGCTCTAGGGATTACTGAGTTTCTGATTTTCAGCTTCATTCCTTGTGGTCTGAGAAGATGCATGTTATGATTTCGATTTTTTTTAATTTGCTGAGACTTGCTTTATGGCCTAGTATGTTGTCAATCCTAGAGAAAGTTCCATGCACTGCTGAGAAGACTGTGTATTCTTCAAGTGTATAATGAAAAGTTCTGTGGATATCTGTTATATCCATTTGGGCTATACTATCAATTATATCTGCTGTTTCCTTGTTGAATTTCTGTCTGGTTGATCTGTCCATTGCTGAAAGTGGAGTATTGAAGTCCCCCAATAGTATTGTATTGGAGTCTAAGTCTCCCCTTAAATCCCTTCGCATTTCTTTTAAATAGCCAGGTTCCCTGTAATTAGGTGCATATACATTTATCATTGTTACATCTTCCTGTTGAATTGATCTTTTAATCATTACATAGTATCCTTCTTTTTCTCTTTTAACACTTTTTTGGCTAACATCTGTTTTGTCAGATATTAGGACGGTTTGGCCAGCTTTTTTTTGTTTGTTCGTTTTCCAACCTTCCACTTTCAGTCTGCATGCATCTTCGTTGGAAAGATGTGTTTCTTGTATGCAACAAATAGATGGGCTCTTTTCCTTATTGAATTATCAATTTATTTATTTATTTATTTATTAATCCATTCAGCCAGTCTGTGTCTTTTAACTGTAGAGCTGAGGCCATTTTCATTCAATATGACTACTGATTAGTATTGACTTTGCCCTGCCATTTTCCCCAAGATATTTCTAATATATGCTTTAAACTTTTTTGGTCTTTTACTGGGAGATTTTCTTCCTTTACCTTCCTTTGTATTGATGGCTGTGTTTCTGTGTTTGTGTGTGTAACACATCTTTAAGCATCTTTTGCAGGGCTGGAAGTGTAGTGACAAATTCTTTCAATTTCTGATTGTTATGAAAGGTCTTTATTTCATCTTCATTCACAAATGAGATCTTTGCAGGATATAATATTCTGGGCTGGCATTTTTTTTCTCTTAGTACTTGGGGGATATCTCACCATTCCCTCCTAGCCTGTAGGGTTTCTGATGAGAAGTCTGCTGTGAGTCTAACTGGAGAACCTCCGAGAATAATCTGACGTTTCTCTCTTGCACATTGGAGAATCTTTTCTTTATGGTTCACTGTGGTGAGTTTGATTACAATGTGTCGTGGAAAGAAAAGGAAATAGTATGTAGTCAGTGTCACAAGATCTTATTTTCAGTTAATAAGAGATAGATTAGGATCCATTCCCTTCAATCTCAGTTTACCATTTCGTCAAATACTGTCATATCTTTAGGTTTTGGGGGATTGGATTTCATCAAGTGAATTTTGGGAGACACACTGCATCTCATAGTGGAGCTAAACAATCAGATTATTATTTTTCCAAAGTGACTAATAGTATGTAAAAGCAGTGAGAATGAACTCAAGCAAGGCAAATCATTTAGAATTTATGAGTAAATTATATAAAAAATGACAATGAAATGTTGATAATTCACTGACTATTCACTATGCATCAATTGTGTTATAATCACTTTTAACGTTTTCTTTCTTTTATCTTACCCTTTTCTTCTTCATTTTGTCAGTGAGAATACTGTTGCAGGGAGATTATTTAACTTGTCACAGAATGGATATACAGTATGCAATTGATGGAAAACAATATTGGCTAAGGTGGTTCTAACTCCAAGCACAATTCTTTACACAGTTTAATTGAAATGTTGTATCTTTATTATTTATGTTCTCTTGCTGAGAATAATGAAGGTAAAGGGAGTCAAGGTGCCTGAGAGAGAAAAAGCAAAAATCGTGGTACCTCATTCTCCATTTCTCCTAGGAAACACAGGGAGTTAGAGTAGAGGAAGGGAGGAAGTATCATACTAATCAGGTGAAGACATGAATATAAAATGTGTGCTCCACATTAAACAGGAATGTCTCTCTAAAATAATTATGAATGAAGGAATATACAGAAATATAAATATTGATAATGAAAAACATGAGGAGGTGTAGGCATTCTAATATCAGAGAAAATAGACTTTAACAAAAAAATCTTTAAAAGAGACAAATAGGGCATTATGGAATGACTAATGGGATCAATTCAACAGGAAGATGAGACTATAACAAATGTATATGCACCAAAGCCAGGGTGCCTGACTATTTAAACAATTGTTAATGAATCTAAAGGGAGACATAGAACCAGTATAATAATACTGAGTGACCTTAACATCACACTTTCATCAATGGACATATCACCTAGACAGAAAATCAACAAAGAAACAACAGAGCTAATCTAAACTATGGACCAAATGAACCTAACTGCTATGTACAGAACATTTCGTCCCACATTTGTAGAATACGTTTTTTTGACAGGCAGAGTGGACAGTGAGAGAGGGAGAGAGACAGAGAGAAAGGTCTTCCTTTTCTGTTGGTTCACCCCTCAATGGCTGCTGTGACTAGCATGCTGCAGCTGGCGCACTGCAATGATCCAAAGCCCGGAGCCAGGTGCTTCTCCTGGTCTCCCATGGGGGTGCAGGGCCCAAGGACTTGGGCCATCCTCCACTGCACTCCTGGGCCAGAGTAGAGAGCTGGACAGGAAGAGGTGCAACTGGGACAGAATCCACACCCCAGCTGGGACTACAACCCGGTGTGCCTGCGCCGCAGTTGGAGGATTATCTTATTGAGCCATGGCGCCAGCCGGATGCATTTTTTTAATCAGTACATAGAACTTTCTCTAGGATTTTCTATATATTAGGCCATAAATATAGTCAGAGACAATTAAAAAATATTGAAATCTTACCATGCGTCTTATCTGACCACAATGCAATTAAGCTGTAAATTAAAAACCTAACAATCTCTAGAATATATGCAAACACATGGCGAATGAACAACGTGCTCCAGAAAGAACATGGGTCATAGAAGAAATCAAAAGAGAAGTCAAAAAAATCTTGAAAATTAATAAAGTTGGCAATTCAACACATCAAAAATCAGGGGATATAGTAAAAGCAGTGTAAAAAGGGAAGCTCATAGCATTTAGTACCTATGTCAGGAAACTGGAAAGACATCATACAAATGAGCAATCAATGAATCTCAAGGACATAGAAAAACAACAACAAACCCATCCATAGATTAACGGGAAGAAAAAATTATATTA